ATTTACTCCTTTTGGACTCCAAAAGAGCGCAGAATTCATTATCTGGACAACCTGCTCTGTGGCGAGTCATTCATTGCCACTGATCAACAACCAGTTCCAACCAGTCCTCGAGCTTCAATTCTGGCTGATGACATGGGGCTTGGAAAATCAATTCAGACTATAGCACTGATTGCACATACTCTCCAAGCAGCATTCAGTTACGAGACGAATTATCAAAGAGAAAGCCCCGAAAGTCAACTTAGAGGTTCACATACCACTTTACTCATCTGTCTCAAGGGGCTTATGGACAATTGGGAACGTGAAATCAAGCTTCATACAAGACAACCGGGACTCAAGGTTATGCGCTGGCATGATACAAATAGAACCAGCCGTGCACCAGAAGAATGGTATTCAGCAGACATCATCTTGACAACATTAGGTACTCTTCAAAATGACCAACTTGATAGTCTTACATATGCAACCAAGTGGTACCGTGTGGTAATTGACAAAGCACAGTCAGTGTATCTATTGGCTTGTAAAATTTCAGTTCAATTACTGATATTCCACTTTGTTTAGTATTATCCGAAATGACAATTTTTCCAGCAGATGTGTCACTGCATTGAAAGCTGTCAATAGATTGTGTCTGACAGGAACACCACTGCACAACAAACTAGGCGACCTTCAGATGATGCTGAGGTTTTTACACGTGACCCCTTTCTACAAGGATTTGGTTTGGGATACACACATTGCTCAACCGGTTCAGCGTGGAAATTTGGCCCCAGTTTCTAGACTTTTGCGATACATTATGCTTAGGAGGACCAAGGACAGTCACATATTTGATTTACCACCCATTAATCACACCACTATTATTTTAGATATGCATAAAGAGGTTAAGGATGTTTATCAAACTCTATATCAGAATTTCTTACGGCAGTTTGGAGTTGAAAGGAAGCAGAAATTTCAAGGTGGTGAATTTTTCAAACAACTCACCAATCTCAGGATGACTTGCAACCACCCTCTTTTATTCAGGCAAATTGAACAGGGTGTTGATGCAGAAAATCAACCCATTAATCTCATTGAGCAAAAACTGGGTATAAAATTACCGGATGAAAGAATTCATAACAGCAAGGTAAGAGATGCTATTCCAACGGACTGGAAGCTTAGCCCAAAGATTGCAGACTTGGTTCACATGCTTCAGAAGAAAAAATCACATGGTGGTGGAAAGAGTGTTATATACACTCAGTGGAAGAGCTTTATTGATTGGTGAGCTCCTTCAAAACCTAGCCCCATTATATCATCAAAAAGCTGACTTCATTCCCAGGATCATCATGGCTTTTGACAACTCTGGCATCACATACCGTCAGCTGCATGGGGACCAGTCCACCTTTGAGCGTACTTCTCAACTCAATTCTTTCACCAAGGACCCAAATGTTGAAGCATTTGTCGTATCAATAGAGGCTGGTGGGGTAGGTTTGAACATGACATGTGCGGACAAGGTCTATTTGATGGTAAGTCAGGCTTTTACATTGGATCTGGGAACACTGATGGAGCAGTGGTGTATCTTCAGGATGCACATTGGAACCCTCAGGTAGTGCAACAAGCTGTGGACCGCCTTCACCGAATTGGTCAGGCCAAGCCTGTCAGAGTATTTCATGTAGTTACTGTACAGTCAATTGAGCAGCATCTTTACAATGTGAGTGTAACAACAAATTTCTGTGAGTGAATGTAGCCCTAACACCTAGCTCTCACTTGTTCCAGGTTCAGAAGAGAAAAGCTGCCCGGGCAAAGAGAGTGATTACATTAACTGTCCCTACAGAGGAATTGGAGAAGGCTGAAGCACTGCGTGTGGAGGAGTTTCCAACAGGGGATGTATCAGATTTGGGAGATCCCAATCAATGCTACCGCAATTAAGATCTAACATATGGGATGCTGGTTTCTGCTACCTTTTTGTAACTGTCTCTATCAAGTCTCTTGTTTCTCAAAAGATAAACCAATACACAAGCGGTTTTCCTGATAAAGGTTGCTTACCATAATAGCATAAATGAATTTTGGTTTGTAAGGTTTCAATTTGTGCATTTCAATTCAAAGAGCTCAATTTAAGAGAAATTCATTAAAGCATGTTTCAAAGTCTAGTATGTTGAGCTAGTGACAAATAAAGCGCCTACAAGAACAAATCAATTTGATTTTAATCACTAATTAAATACCACATCGGATTCACCTGGCTGTGGTGCAAAGGGAGTACCAGTCCAGTCATACTGTCTCAACCTTTCTAATACAAAATTGAAAATCTCCCAAACATTCGTAGTTCTCAAATCATCATAATCAAACTCCATGTCAGACATGACTTTGTCAACTACATCCGCAAACCACTCAGGTGTCTTAGTCCATAATCTTTCTTGATCTGGATAATCCTCCTCAATGATCTGATCAACTTTATAACTGGGAACTCCTATCAAGTAATCTGTGCCAGCAAACTCGTCACCTGGGTTGTAATAGCAATAGTTAGCACTACATCCGGTTGGTAACCTAGAGCGGTTGTCTCTACGCCTTTGAAAATTGTTGGCATGGTCTTTGTAGGTATCTAAAGCTTCTTGTATGGCGGGTACGTAGAGCTGGAGGAACAAGAGTCTAAAAGAAAGATGAGTTAGTACAAGAGCTACTCAAAGAAACACAAATCACCAACTCACCTTTGCATTGGATCATCAGGATCATAATCACCATCCGCAATCCTTTGAGCAATCTTGTCTTTCAAGTGACCAGTCACTGCATTTTGCATCTTCTCCCAAGCAGATTCAATCTTAGTATTACTAGTAGAGGGAACATATCTATGGTACTGGAAACCGGGGGTTTCAGTGCCGTATTGCTGTCCAAAGTACATTTGATGGCCAGCAAGGTCGATGGTCTCAGTACCTCGGTCAGTGGTGAGTTTTTGAGGGATGCCTCCGTGTTTCTTGACAAGTTCAAGATACCATAAATCAACATGTCGTGGGTCACTGTTGGTGACATGAGCATGGAGACCCAAGAGCTTCCGAGACCAGCAGTCGATGAAACCGTAGATTCCAATTCCGTAAGGCATCAATTTGTCGTGTCCGTCAGAAGCCCAAACCTGGTTAGGACCACCCGCATAATACTGCCGCCTTTTCAGTTTGTGGGCCGCTCGGACTTTGACCATGTCAGGATTGATCACTTTCAGAATGGCCGATATAACATCACTAGCAGAAAAGAGAAAAATGAAGAGAGAGGAAAAGTCAGCATAGGTTACACTACTAAAAAAATATTGTTTTCCGGGCAGAACACATAAATGATTTATGTCATTAAGTGGACCCCAGAACACAAATATCACCTGTTACTTAAGTCTGAAAACATGCAAAAAGGATCATACTGTAATGTCCCTCCGTGGATTGCCAAAGATTGTTCCATTAAATTTCATAGATTGTACGTGTGTAGTGATGTGTAGCCAAGCAAACGCTTTGTTAGATAGAATTCAAAGACATGTTCCAATGTCATCCTAGTTTGAACCTGTGACTGTGCAAATAAGATGACCGTCTGTCATCCTGAAAGTTTTAATTCCAAATTGATTGTATCATTTGTCTCTAGAAGGCGGCAAAAAGTACAGTCACCAAGCTTGGTGACTGTGCCTTACATCATTAATCGAGTATGGACCGTAGCAACCCACAATTTTTGTGTTCCGCACTGTTCCGCAACGTTCATAATCCAATTATATCACAATTCAATTTGCGCATCTTTCATTCAGTATCATACATAGAATTGGCAACGTCCAATGATCGACTTATCTTGGATGTGTATACTTGCATGTCATCAAATCACTCACCATCGTCCATCATCCCCCTCTCTTCTTCTTCGTTCTGCATTTGATGTTGTCCATTCCTCACTGATATAAGAAGAGTAAGTTCATACCCTATTTACATTGTCTTCTCCCCCAACCTTCTCCTCGATCTTTCATCTCTGACTAATTCTTTTTTGCTGCACTTCTCTTGTGAGCAATGTCCTGCCCATCAAAGTTTGACCCTAGTGCACCCGGTGTATCCAAGCAGATGATGCTGGATTGGATGCATATCCATCATCCAAAAACTCCGATACGGCCGAAGATAGGCCCAGTTGGCTTGGCTCAGCTGGTTCGATCGGTCCAACCCGAATGTATGTCCTTTGGACTCAAGCAGAATTTGTACACAACTCAGAGTCTTGAAAACTGATCCATTCATCGCCTTCACAAAATCCTATCCACCAACATAGACTTTCCTGACGCAGCAAGTGATGCGCCTGCATGTGCGACGGGAAGTACTTCAAGCATCGATGCACCCATTGTGACCGAAGATCAGTCTACCGCCACAACCACCGAGATCCGTAGTTCAACTGCCACATCACGATATCCCCAACTTGATTCACTTCAAGACCTTCAAAACTTGAAAACACTGAAACCACCAACTCCACCATTCTTCAAATTGAACACAGCTTCACGCCATGCAAAACGAGCTGCGTCTTCCGAAGTTAAACAAAGCCTAAACAGTACTGAACTGGGTACAATTGTGTCTCGCTGATTTTTCAAACTATTGGTCTCTAATGTTGGATTTTTGTCTATCTTCTGCAGGTTCGGATGTTTGTGATATAAGTTCAAAGATTTCCAAAAAGAAGAAAGTGAGTCCTACCTTTGTTATCTTCAGACTTTGAATATGTTTATCTTTCATGACTAACACATAGTATGTTGATTACAGATTGCCCATCTGTCTCGTACTGTCATTAAACCCACCAATTCAACTGGGGCTGCCATTCAACGGAGTACCCATCCATCGGCACCTGGTCACTCAATCTCAAATACGACTCTCACTTTTGACGACAATGAGAAGGATCTCAAAGACTTGCACAACTCTCTCGCCACGCCAGCCTTGCCTTTACAGAACGCCGTCACCAAGCCAAATGCTTCCAAACGTAATGTGATCAAACGACCGCCTGTCTCCGATCAAACTCAACACCAAAGTGTCTCTCAAAAGCCATCAGATTCTGAAAGTAATCAAATAGAAGATCTCATTGATTTTTCGGATACTCATTGTATGGATGTTGGAAACCCAGGTTTGTATTTATCCTCTTCTTGTCTCGATCCAAGCTGATAATGTTGAGTTTTTTTCTCAAGTGCTAGGCAAGGGTATTCCACCGATTTCTCCAACCATCGTGACTGGAACAAAGCGATCTGGTGTTGATGTGTTTAAGGAGGAAAGGGGACGCGAAGAGCGTAGTGAGTATCATGGCTCTCATCATCTTTCATTTTCTTCCTGCTCAAAGACCAATCCGTGTTTCTGTAGTCTGTTGACTTGAAAGCTCAATCGCTCAGGTCTTAGAAGAGATTGGTCAACTGAGTGCTGATGTTTTACAAGCCAAAATGCAATTTGAAGATCAGGGTTTGTGTCCTTAAATATTATACCAATTGTTGCCTTGACTAATCTAATGTTCAATGTTTTCAAGCGTACAAGATCCAAATGCTCCAAAAAGATAAAGATTGCCTCAAGAAAACCGCACAAGTTACAAGTACACTTAATCCAAAACTCACTCATTTGGAATCTCGAGTGGAGACCTTGCAGCGCCGATTCAACATAGATCACGAGGAGATTGTGACACATGGTCAGATTCTCGAGAAGTTAATGGCTTCAGACGACGACGACGACAAGAGTTGTGATTAGCCTATTTATCATCTTATGATGCAAGCTCAATATGTTGAGATTAACTATAAATCTCTTTGTGTTTCAGCGCTATACACAGCAGGTTGTCTATTCTATAACTATATAACTTAGAACCAAGTGTCTCCACTTCATGAACATTGTTGTACTCATCAGTAGACTCTCTAGTCATCATATGTGCTCGGAGGTTTTGTGAATTTTACTCCTTGTTAATTTTTACAATCACATGAGCAGAAACCGTTTTATCACAACACACACTGCAGTTGAGATAAACACCGTCAAATTGATGTAACATGGATCTTAATGAAGTATATGATCAAAGTTGAGACACCACCTACTTATGTGAATTGATCAGATCAAGAAGATTCAAGAACAAATTTGACTATGGAAGAGATAATCTAAACAGTAGAATATTCTTTCGAACTCTTAATACAAAAGAATCATTCAGAATGCCTGATGATCGCAAGGACAGCAGAGGAAACGTAAATGCAATATGATCAATCTCAGACGTGCAATCAAAATCAATCAATCTCCTAATAACATCAGCATATATTTTGTTTTTACGTGAATGTGCATGCAGTGGATCAACAATTCGAATTCCCTTAAGCCTCGTGCAAGGTTTGTTATATGAGCTCTATCGCCATAGTGCCCTCCCACCTAAATTCCTGATGTACATACAACGTGGATGGACCACTCAAATAGTACACATATATGTGCCCTTCTTCGTATCTAACTTTGATCCAGCTCAAATTCCCAAAGTTACAAGAATCAATACTTTGTAATCATTGGTTCCTCCTTCCTAAACTCAGTTCTCATTTCCCCATCTTGTCTGATATCCACAGTAAGTATAAGGCTCACTCGTCCCTGGATTTAATACAATCAATTCTCTACGTCCGCGATTTCATCTTTTCTAATTATCCGCTTGATCTCTATACAGTCACAAAGCCACTTATAAGATCATCATTGAAATGCCAGAATCCGAATTAACAAGCAAACAACATGCTTTTGGAGACCATCTGACGCACCAACAAGACGACACAAGCAAAAGTAGGAGCTTTCTTATTCGATGTAGACATATCCTGGTCTGACCCTTCAATCCTTGTTTTATCTGTAGATGAGAAGTTGCAAGAATGGCTTGCTGAGCTCCAAACTTCACTCGACTCCATCAAGCAAAACATGATGACTCTCTCTCAAAACGTGGAACTGACTTTGTCCCAAAATGCGGAACAACTACGCCAAAATGGTTTGTATTCTCTGGCAGGCTTATTGATTTTAGTTACATCGCAGCTAACTGCATGTGTGCTATAGCGCGCGAGATTGAGGCCCATTCGACAGCTCTAAAGCTTACTGACGGAAGAATCCACAAGCTTGAACGGAAAGTCAAAAAACCAGGTGAAGATGGTAAATCTATATCCCGATTGCTCATAGGTACATTTCAGCTAACCGGCCTGGTATTTCTAATGATCGAAATTGACCGCCTTTCAGATGCTCTCAAGCTCGCAAATGAACAAATTCATGAACTCAAGAGCAGAGTGCAAATTCTAGAAAACCACATGGACGCGATGGACCATTATACTTACAGCACCGATGCTAAAATGGAGGGACACACAAAAGTTCTTCAAAAGTTTATTGATACCTTTGGCAGTATTGATCTTCAAGCGGAGTACGATAGCTATGAGTCACTCAGCCAAAAGTTGGCTTCCCACCTCAAAGAATAATTAGAGTCTCGGATCATCATCACATAAATATAACAATCTGGTTGTTTTGATGTATCATGTGACTTTTGGTTCAATTCGTATCTTGACAAAGATAGGTGGCTGTGTCTTTGCCTCCCGAAAAACTGATTTCCTCGCTGCTGTCTCCAATGATTACAATATCAGTGATACCGTGTGATCTAAATATATGTTGTTCCCTTAACATTAGGACTATATTCGTGCTATACCATGATCATCATATTGTGATTATATTGCTTGTTTTTTTGAATTGCAGCAATGATCACAAGCTTCACAGTTGCTAAGGAAGATGCAAAGCTGAGCGATGATCAGAAAACAAAGCATAAAGGTTTTTTTATAACAATGGCCGCACAGCTCCATAACACTGATGGCCTCCCTTGTATTTAATTATCTATCCCGTGGGAGGGACTAGAGATGCTGTGAGTTATTCGGAATAGTAATCTGCCTAACTACATAGTAATGAGTCATGTGTATACATGTTCTCTGTATGTAGTTGATGACCCCGAGTTCACAACGCGCAACATGAGTCCTCTTTGTCAAGAACTCCTTTGTTCATTTTTTATATCAACTCATTATATTCGAGATGACTATCACAGCTATATGTGTTCAAGTGCTTCCCCTCTCACAATATATCATACCCAGCTTGTTCCACTTCTTTCACTTTTATACTCTTTCTTTGTTTCATATTACATTTTGGTTATTCGTATCCTTTTCATATTCAGACTTCATGGCCAAGCGGGCAAGTTCTCGCTTAGTGCGCAACCGGAATCTCAACAACGAAATTGAAGACAAGATAGAGAAGATCGTGGACGATGAGGCGAAGAATCCGGTTGATCCGCCAGCAGGTTCCAGAAAAAGGAAAAAAGGTAGTACACGGGATGAACCAGAACCAGAAACACAACTGGACGGTAAGCCCTTCATTCAGTCCTTTTCCATTTGGAGTTCCTGGACAAGGAGGGATTGTAGAGTGACGAGCTGACTGAATGAATTGCTAGAACCAGCGCAAAGTCTCCCTACGGCCAGTAAAGACCGTCTACTTCGCCTCCTTGACAAGCATATTCAAAAGAAAAAACCAAGACGATCTTGTGCTGGTCCTCCGAAATCAACTATCCAAAATATTCCGATTCCTATCATTTCAATTCAGACTGAAGTACAAGATCAACTAGATGTACAAGAGAATCAGGTCGACTACTCAATCTTCGCAGTGGAGGACCTTGTCAAAATGGTGTCAGAAGTGGGCGTGGACACTCGGGGAATGGACAAATTGGATTTGATTCGGAATTGCGAAAAGTTCAGAGATTTGAGTAAGTTCTGAACACCTGGTTTCTCATTAAAATGATGTTAGACTGATCCCAGTTGTTGTTATCCTGGACGTCATTGTAGTAATAACACCCCAGAATCCTCGCATCGATCATGTGGAAAAGGATATCTCAAATTCAGTGGCATCAACAGGTACACGTGAAAACCAATCAAATACAATCAAAACTTCAACATCAGCTTTTCCGAGTCCTGCACATGAGAAACCATCAAACATTCAATCAAATCGCACAATCCGATCCTCTAAACCAGAATCTTCCAGAAAAAAAAAGAAACAGGGTGAGTCTCTTCATGCCGATCAGGCTGCTTGTATGACATGGACTGATACTTCAATGAGCTGATCTGCAGCAGGTCCTGAAAACTCGGCAACAGAACAGCCTCAATCGAATACACTCGAGACTTCAACACCTGCGGTTCCGAGTTCTGCAAATGAAACATCATCAAACATTGAATCAAGTCGCACAATGCGATCCTCTAAACCAGAATCTTCCAGAAAAACAAAAAAACAGGGTGAGTCTGGTCATGCCGATCAGGCTGCTTGTATGACATGTACTGATATTTCAATGAGCTAATCTGCAGCAGGTCCTGAGAACTCGGTAACAGAACAGCCTCAATCGAACACACTCAAGACTTCAACACCTGCGGTTCCGAGTTCTGAAAATGAAACATCATCAAACATTGAATCAAGTCGCACAATGCGATCATCTAAACCAGAATCTTCCAGAAAAACAAAAAAACAGGGTGAGTCTGTTCATGCCGATCAGGCTGCTTGTATGACATGTACTGATATTTCATGAGCTAATCTGCAGCAGGTCCTGAAAACTCAGCAACAGAACAGCCTCAATCGAATACACTCAAAACCTCAACACCTGCGGTTCCGAGTTCTGCACAAGAAACATCATCAACCATTCAATCAAGTCGCACAATCCGATTCTCTGAAGCAGAATCTTCCAGCAAGAAAAAGAAAGGCAAAGAAAGAGCTTGAGAGGAAACTGAAGATGACTACGAGGAAGAGCAGGCCTCTGAATTTATGCATGACTCCGAACACAATTCTGACAGCAGCGTAGAGATCTTTTATTCACATAAGTCTAAGAAAAGAAATAGTACAAAGAACAAAAATAAGAGCACAGAAGAAGAAGAGGACCTAGGTCAGTCAAAGGTCAACGATACAACCAAAGGTTAGTGCTTTTGTAATGCAAGCCTCAAAATTTGGCAAATGATAATACGCTCATCATGTTTATCGCCTATTTTAGAAAAAAGTAACGCATGCAACAAGCATATTTGCCTGGCCACAAGCCAAAAGGTTGAAAAACTAGCGCAAGAGGTAAAATATTTAACGGAAGTGGTCGAAGGCCTTGTAGCCAAGGATGGCGAGACAGTGGTCAAGAAAAATACACGCGGTGGGAGAACATCAGTAAGTAACTTTACAATCTCTTTGGCCAAAATACATCAATCTAACCCATTAACGTTTTGAGTAAGGCCCACATTCGTTTTCATGTTGATGTGATGCTAGGTAGGAAATCCGAAACCAGTCCACCTCCACCGCCGGCAAGTACTGAGGAGAAGTCAAAGTGGATGTACGACCAAGATATTGATACGATTGATATCGACATTTCTGATTTGCCACATCCTTCTGGAGATCAAAATGCATCCGACCCGAGTCTCCCATACCTGGATGGACCTGGCCATCCAGACGCCACCCCTCAACAACTTGCAGTAATCATGAAGCTAATGAACTCGGTTGGCATGGAAAGCTTTCGGCCTGATTTCGCTAATTCAGCGCAATCACCAGAAAATAAATGGCTTTGGGAAATCTCAGAAAAGATATTTATCAAGCTAGTTGGGTATGGAGAGTATCCGGGAGTGTCCTTGGACACGGAGAATAGACAATACATTACAAAATGTTTTGCTACATACTTTCAGAGTTTGAAGAAAAGGTATGTGCAAGTTTTGTCCTCAATATAGTATTGATTCACATATTCAAAATTTCATTTCTACATCTCTTCCCAGGTATCGTAAAGAGCAGTGGGAGACAGATCGTCAGAAGGCGGCAGACGATACAAACAGGCGCACAACAAGACTTGGTCGTGTTGGTCCTTTTAGAAATATGCTCATCTAGAGGGTTACTGACAATTCCAACTTCTTTTTGCGATCCAGCTCAGAAAAGCACGAAAAACCATTATAATGAATCACCGTTCATTATGGCCGCTCTTACCTTTGGTCGAATCTGCATGCAGTGATGATGAAACGGACGCCGAAAGCGCATCAGATACAACACCAGGAGATAAGACCCCTATAGATGTTAAAAACCTCAAGTGGCGCAGTGAAGATCTGTCCAACATCTGGAAACGCCTCGACGAGTCTCAAGCACGGTTCAAGAAGAGTCTTACTGGGAGCAACAACTCTTCACCTCGTGGACGTCCGTCACGTCCACGTATTTGAGTGCAGAACCCTTTTTTGAGTAAGATTCCGGTACCCGAAAACTTACCTAAGGACTGCTATTCAAATGAATTTCTCCATAGCCTTACCGCTAAGGAGAAAGCACAGATGAATATTGATAATCATCCAATAATACCTGCCATCCGCAATGCCTTGGATGGGCTTGGTTTCTAGGTTTGTGACTAACTTTTTTCGTGGTCAATTTAGACGCAACTATAGCATTACATTGTAAGTCCTTCTATTGTTAATCTTACAAAATATCTTTTGCTCAGGCTTTGTGTTATGAAAACTTTATTTTGCAGACATGAGTACTGATAAAGCATGCCCTCCCAGGTAAAGGAAAGTGTTTTGTATTACAATTTAATAGAAGCAACCTTTGTATGAAGTAATATTATCAAATGTAGCGGTCATTTGTACAAAATTATCGCACGCTGAGTAGACAGGATGATCTGAACGTGAGGTTGTCCCTCATTGTAAATGTATTGAAATGAAAAATTTACAGTCAAGTTATTCTATCTATCTATTGATACTAGAGCCACAGTAGGTATGTCAAGGTTCTTGTGTATCAAACCAGGCCTATACATCATCCACGCGCAGTGGGCTATTATCTCATTTATTTTCACAAGTCTGTCGCTTGTTGGGCCCCACGCACGTAGGTGAATTTGCGCATCAGGTGCTTTCACAGAACCAAATGGATCATATCTTCTCAGTCTTGATGGAATCTCAGGGAAGCACTGAACCTGTACCCAAGTTTCGGAACAGGTCTTTTTAGCCTCTGAGGATCTTGAGTTTCTTGAGTGAGTAAAAATCGAAAATATTCTTCCAAAGGCCACTGTATTGGTATGACCAATTTTGAATGCCACAAAACTGTCTTTCTGACTTGTTGAGACAGTGGAAAACGACACGCCCATGTGTGCTATGCGTTTATGAAAGAACGCTCGTGGAGAGACCGGTGATATACCAACTATCTCGTCTTCACTAAGTAAACATAAGTCTTCTGGTGTCATCCATTGCCATGATCCTCCTTCTTCCCCGTTTAAACGTTCAATTAACAATTTCAAAACATTGTTATCAATTGATAACATATTACCATTTGAATGCCGTCTAGCCCGAGGCTCTTCTGGCTGATATAGTGACTGGAGCCTTGTAGCATACGCCTCAAGAGGCTCTGGAAGTTTGTGATCCCTCAAAAGAGCGGCCAAGTTTCCTGCAGAGCAATATCTTTTCAGGAAGGTGATTTCAAGCTCACCTGGTCAAGTTGTACGGAATGCGAGAGGTGTCAAGGTGACAATGCAAAAATCAAAGAACGAAAATCACAATTCCCGGGTGCGAAATTCAAAAATCAAAGACAAAACTACAGAAAATACTCAAATACAGGGCAAAAACCCCTGTACCGGAGTAAAAGTCATGGCAGAAACCCCTTTCAGACCAGGTTACGGCCCAAATTTCAGTAGATTTACAACTTGAAACTCAACATTTGTCACCCCATTGTCGCATTGACACAAAAAGTACCAGGAAACCACAAAAGAGGACATCAAAATTCAAAAATCAAAAAATCAAAAAATCAAAAGTTGAAAATCAAAAAACAAATGTCGATAATCAAAAAACGACAATTAACAAACCATAAACAAAGACCCCAAGAATGAAAACTTCACATTAGATGATGAAAAGTGTACCTCTCTACCTCTACCTCTCAACCAATCACACAACCCACACACCATCACCGATCATCTTAGTCATTCCTCCAACTTTTGTTATAGTCTCCACCCATCCACTTGTTCAACCAAACCTACACTACACTGAACCTCTTTGATTGTCTCCACTCTTCTTCATACTTATTTGATTGTCTCCACTCTTCTTCATCCTTATTTGATCGTCTTCACTCTTCTACACTACACTGAACCTCTTTGATCGTCTCCACTCTTCTTCATCCTTATTTGATCGTCTTCACTCTTCTACACTACACTGAACCTCTTTGATCGTCTCCACTCTTCTTCATCCTTCTTTGATTGTCTTCAATCTTCTTTGATATTCTTGGATCGGCTTCACCCTTCTTCAATATTCTTGTATCGGCTTCATTGTTCCCTAGTATTCTTCAATTCTCTTCGATCTTCTTCAATCTTCTTCAATCTTCTTGAATCGGTTTCAATCTTCTTCAATCTTCTTCAATCTTCTTGAATCCTCTTCAATATTCTTCAATCTTCTTGATTCGGTTTCAATCTTCTTGAATCAGTTTCAATCTTCTTCAATCTTCTTCGATCGACTTCAATCTTCTCCGATCGACTTCAATCTTCTTTGATCGACCTCAATCTTCTTCAATCTGCTTCTTCTTCGACTTTGGTTTCTCTCAGATACTCATATTTCACTATCATGAACCGACCTAATTGTCCCTTATGTCAAAGTACTCTCCGTCAAGGCGAACACAAAATATGTGGACCCTGCCTTGAAAACATCAATGCGGACCGAAACAAAAAGGTTCCTTCTCCCCCCCAGCAGGCACCCACCCAAGCTTCTCAACCCCGCCCTGCCAATCTCAAGGTCATCAATGCCAAAGCAGCTGTTGCAGCCCGTACCTCGACTTCCACTGGTACTCATGTCCACCAACTTCAAAGCGACAAGTCAAAGCGAGCTGCTGCCAAGAAACAAGCTAGCAGCAACCGCATGTTTAATGGTTACCCAGCAGCACCTAAACCTCCACCTTTCACTACTCACACTGGCCGAGTATGCTCTGTAGGATGGATGGTGATATACGACACCGGCTCTTTCGCTCATGGTCTACTTCGGGGAACTTTCACTGTGGATAGGTCATCGTTGACACTCTTGGACAACACCAAGGAAGGCATCTTCAACCTGTGGGGCCACTCGGTTGACTCTCCTCTTTACCCTCAGGCACCCAAAGTTTACAACTCTGAGTATTTCAACCTGGCCAAAACCGGCCGTGGCCGGAAATCACCTGTGGTCTTACATAACAATGAAGTTTTTGCTAGATATCTTGATGACACTAAAGGAGAACCTAGCCTCGAGCTAATTTTTCTGGCTGACAAATATGTCAAAAATAATCCTTGGCTTCGACCTTCCACCAGTAAGCCGGTACAACCTCAACAACAAGCTAAAAGAAAGGCATCTCAACATTTGACTTATGAGGAGATGTTATTAGATGATGGAGATGAAGAAGCGGATTATGGTGATAGTGATAGTGATAGTGATGGTGATCTGCCTTTGAGTGTCGAAATATTCCAGCCAAGCAAGAAAGCCAGGTGTACACCTTCAACTTCAACAAAAGTCACCTCACCACGAGTCACTCGAAAGAAGGCTTCTAATTTTAAAACCAAGAATAGTACATACACACTCCTGCCACCCATCACCCCACGAAAATCTCCCCACCGTGCTCAGAGTGATGTGGCTCCTGTAGCTATGACTCATGTGATACCACCTCACCAGACAGGTAAGCTCACCGCTCTTGTTCACTACTCATTTTTGGTCTGGCTGACATGCCCTCCTTAGTACCGGCCTTTGATTTCAGAGAGGCTATTGATATCTCCGTAT